GACGGAAACCCTGCCCCTCCTGATGAGGACGGTAACCATGACCTCCATGATGAGGACGGTAACCATGACCACCATGATGAGGACGGTAACCATGACCACCATGATGAGGACGGTAACCATGACCACCATGATGAGGATGTTTGTATAGGATACATATACATATTTATTCAGTTGTGCTGATAATGAGTCAGAATGCAGAGCCTCTCTACCTTAGAACCAACGACGATATATTCAGTCAGACGACGTGACTGGAAACAGGTGGAGAAAGACTACCACCATAGACTGAGCCCTGAACAGGAACGTACCTTCAGAGAACCTAGCGCTGAACCCTCGATGGTTTCTGCTAGAATCGGACCGAAATCGGACATAGATGGTGTTGGTGGTGGAGGTTATGGGTTGAGGAGTGCTGGAGCCACAAACACGGGACAGCAGAGGAAAGGAAGCGCTGGAACCATCATGGATCTACAGCAGGAGGAGGTCACCTCGCTGATCATTGCCATCATCAATCATATTCATCTCTAAACAGATCAGAGGGTCTCTCACCTCTACATAATCCCAGGTACAGTTTGTGTGGTATTCAATGTCCAGGTCAGTGAAGTTCAGGAGGACTCGGTGGCTGACCTCCACACTGATCACCCAGGAACAGTCCACGTTGTTGGGGTAGCTGGCCGGATACAGCGGTGAGTGGATCTCACCTGCCGGAGCGGTGACTGGGCCTCCACAGCCTGCAGGAACAAACAGCATCTGGTTAAGGTCAGTGAGGCTGGTCGGAGACGGCAGGACGCGTCCCATCGTCCGTCTGAAGGCATGGATGGAGCGAGGAGCCGGTACCTTCTCACCAACTGTGCTGGATGTAAGAATATTTGAGGTCGTTTGAACTAATAGACCCCTTCCTGGGCCTGTGTGTTCAGACTGGGAGATGAGGTCACAGATATAGAATAACAGCAGATAAAATCAATCCAGATTCCTGGAGGAGATCCTGTTTTAGCCAAAAGAAGGATGTTGGACTGCAGGTCCTCTTAAAGCTCACTACGCTTGTGTAGGGTCAGCGGGTGAACTTTCCTTTTATCTTCAGAGCAGAGACACTAGAGTCCACGGACAGAGTGAAACGCACTGACTTCCCCATGTGCATGAGGTTATCAGACATGCACCTCTAAGATAAAAACAGAGCAAACACTCGTGGTGCACACAGATACACTACCATGTTAGAATATGGTAGAAACAGGCTGGGGTGGGGCTCTTTGGGACATTTATACGCGGCTGTGTTTTGTTCCACTCCCCAGGAGTGGGTTTAAATGTCTACGCCTGCCTCCACGCAGCCATCCCTCCGGTATCGCCGCATGTTTACCTGATAGAAAGGAATCGGCAGGAAGATTAGGGTGATGACGCAGAGGCCATCCAAAAATAAACCATCCAAGAAAAGAAGAAGCTGCTCAGGCTTTGACTGATGTCACTGGTAAAACATCCTTAGAACACCACAGGGTGTTATGTGGTTTCTGTCTTTGTTCAGAGGGCTGAATGGACATTATAATAATTATTGACTCATTTCAGGCATAGCAGCAGCTAAAGTCCCGCCTCAGGAGGAAGGTTTGGTGAAATCTGCTGGGCTGACTGATGGTGACGTCCTCCAGCAGCTGGTCTGTAGACCTGTGAACTAACATTCCAGAAATCGTTCAGGTCTTTGCCTTTTATCGGACGCTTGTTCAGCAGAACCGTCTCAACAGCTGGCTGCAGACCTAAAGCATCTGCATCATCTCCAAAGTCCTACTAGCATAGCAGAGGGCGCGTTAGGAGCCCCTGAATGTCTGACATTTTGTTCAGAATGTATTTAATCCATGGGAATAGAAAAAGATGGGAAGGATGGCTGATCTTTTAACAGTTTAACTGTTAAAACATGAAAAATATCAGCAGTACCACCTTAATACCACCTAATTCCTGCTGCTACTGCTCTGTTCAACACAGTTCAACATCTATAAATATATATCTATATTTCAGGCAGACCAAACTGGCTCATTTTTCACTTCTAAACAGACATCCCATAATGGCATCTACTGTGTGTTATGCAACGTTCACACCGCAAGCAGCAGGAGCAGCAGAAACGCACCTGCTGCTTCATTTCTAATGCTCGTACCAGTTTAGTTCTGACGCGCGGCTGAAGCATCTCTGCTGCTCTAGCTGCGCCGTGTTAAAGTGGGTCTGATGCGCGGTGGGCGGAGCTACTCTTTCCTTTCTCTGCCTGGAACAATGGCAGCTATATTAGCTGTGATCAGCGGGTAGAAAGTAGTTAGAATCTATGTTGAAGTGAGAAAGTCCTCCTGAAAACATGGTCTGTGCAGTCAGTTCATCCAGATTACCATCCTGCCTTCAAAGATTATTTCTCTGTGGGAGCCGCTCAGACCCCCACATACCGGCGCTGCGCTGTCACTGGGAATCCCCAGCAGCAGCTGCCTCAGGCCCGCTCGCCTCTCCAGGGTTTTCCCCTCCTGTTGGTGGCGGCTGGAAGTAGATGTTAGCGTTTTTCAGGTCTGTGCTACAAACTGCAGGCAGCAGGATAATAAAAGCCAACATATTCTGCCGGCAGGTTTCTACATTTGAAGTTAATTTAGGCGTTAATAAACTGTTTCAGAGGAGTGATCATAGCGCTCTGCATCAGCAGTGCTGCGTCTGACTCCCTGCCAGCTCCCAGATCAGCTTCGCTCATTGGTTGATGCCGCGTCCAGCAGCTAAAGGTCAATGTTTCAAGCTCTGGCATCTGCTGCTCCTGCTGCTGCTCCTGTTCCTGCTCCTGCTCCTGCTGTTCCTGCTGCTGCTCCTGTTCCTGCTCCTGCTGCTGCTCCTGCTCCTGCTGCTCCTGCTGCTGCTCCTGCTGCTGCTCCTGTTCCTGCTGCTGCTCCTGCTCCTGCTGCTCCTGCTGCTGCTCCTGCTGCTGCTCCTGCTCCTGTTCCTGCTCCTGCTGCTGCTCCTGCTGCTGCTCCTGTTCCTGCTCCTGCTGCTCCTGCTGCTGCTCCTGTTCCTGCTCCTGCTCCTGCTGCTGCTCCTGCTGCTCTAGACGCTGCAGGACCTTTTGCTGCGCATTGATGCGCGTCAACCTTTGACTCTGCATGTGAACCAGCTTCTTCTGCTGCCTCCAGCGCTAGCCGTCTGAACGTGGCATAATCCTCTTAATTCAAACTAGGAAGCTCCTTCCTGCAGTATAGAGTCCCAGCAATGGAAGCAAACTGAGCTGAATACTAATACAGCGTTAATACAACCAGGCTGAACGTGTTACAGGACTTAGTTTTCTGCTTTAGCTGCTATCAGATCAGCGAGCTTTAGTTCCTAGACCGTGTTACTGATGTAACTTTGAGCCCTCAGCACAGACTCACCTCCCTGGACCTCCACCCAGCTGGCATTGAATCCTCGGCCGCTGACGTAGGCATCAGACTTGAAGCGTACTGTGAGCAGGTTCCCAGTGCTGGAGACCTGCATGGGGCTGGAGGTGGTGCTGCACAGCTGGGCCAGCCGAGGGGCCTGCAGGTCTGGGCCTCCATACACCTAAAGGGATTCAGGAGTCAGTCAGAACTAGAGCCAAACAGGCAAGAATGTTAAAAAAACATCAAATATGAAAAAAGGTCAGAAGTTATGAGAAGTGATACAATTCAATTCTATTCAGTTTATTTCTATAGCTCCAATTCACATCATGTCATCTCAGGTCACTTTCCGGTTCACCAGATCATCCAGTCAGATTGATTCAAAGTTTTCTATCTAAGGAAAACCAGCTGATTGCATCAACTCATTGACTCTTCAGCAATCCCTCACACTAAGCATGCTTGTAGCGACAGTGGAGAGGAAAAACTCCCTTTGAACAGGAAGAACCTCCAGCAGAACCAGGCTCAGTGTGAGCGACCATCTGCTGAGGCCCACTGGGGTTCAAGGAGACAGAAGCAGAGATACAAAAAGCAGCTGTAAAAGGCGGCCCCGTCCAGGAAACACACAGCCAGGCAGACGAGCTCCAAGGCAGCTCCCATGTCAGAGGACGAAGAGAGCACATCCACTCAGTCACGGTCAGAGCAACAGGACCACACTGGAAAACAGGCCGATCTCCAACATCTATAAACAAGGGTGTTGATAGAAGCAGCACAGCTGATGTTTCTTTCCAGGATGACGTCACAGCCAAACAGGAACAGACGAGGCAAAGCTACTCTGAGGAAAAGCAGAGAGAGCAGAAGGTTAGAGATTGAACTAACAGATTCTGCAGAATAGGAGAACAGAGAGAGAATGAAGCAGAATGATGAAATGGGGGTCCCTATGTCCTCCAAAAGTCTAAGCCTATAGCAGCATAAGTATAGAGATAGCTCAGGATAACCTGAGCCACTCTAACTAGAAGCTTTATCAAAAAGGAAAGTTTTAAGCCTAGCCTTAAAAGTAGACAGGGTGTCTGCCTCACGGACTAAAACTGGTAGTTGGTTCCACAGGAGAGGAGCCTGAGAACTAAAAGATCTGCTTCCCATTCTACTTTTAGAAATTCTAGGAACCACTAGTAAACCTGCAGATTGAGAGCGAAGTGCTCTGTTAGGAACATAAGGAACAATCAGATCTCTGATATCAGATGGAGCTTGGCCATTTAAGGCTTTATATGTGAGAAGGAGGATTTTAAATTCTATTCTGCATTTAACAGGAAGCCAATGAAGAGAAGCCAGGATAGGAGAGATATGATCTCTCTTTTTCATTTTCATCAGAACTCTGGCTGCAGCATTTTGGATCAGCTGAAGGCTTTTAACTACAGTTTGTGGACTTCCTGATAGTAAAGAATTACAATAGTCCAGCCTTGAAGTAACAAATGCAGGGACTAGTTTCTCAGCATCACCCCTGGACAGGAGATTTCTAATCTTTGCAATGTTCCTGAGATGAAAGAAGGAAATTCTAGAAACCTCTTTGATCTGGGATTTAAATGAAAGGTCCTGATCACAAATAAGAACAAATATTAATTTTATTATCTGAGACCAATTTAATCCAGCTCAAATGAAGTGACTGACTAATCAGCTTCTTTTTCAGAGACTCTGGTCCAAAGACTATAACTTCTGTTTTGTCTGCATTCAGAAGCAGAAAGTTAAGAGTCATCCAGGTTTTTATGTCTTCAAGACATGCCTGTAATCTATGTAATTGTTGGGATCTGGAGCTGTACCACCTTTCTCCAGCAGAGTGCGCCGTGGATCCTCCTGAGCTGAGCCCCCAACACACCTGTGGCGCATCTCGTCATCAGAGGATCCTCCTGTTTATAACCTGCCTTCAGACCTTGCCTCAACGCCGCAGTGTTGATCCAGTTTGGTTAGCACCTGAGCCTAGCAAACACCTGAGAATCTAGCTATCTCTGTTGAGATAAGATTCTAACACCTCCTTGTCTCTGCCTCACAGGAATCCTGTCACTCCTTGAAGCTCTGGATGAGCTTAACCTGCCGAGCCTGCCCTCTGAGCCAAACCTGAAGACTCTTCTCTGGATTCCCCTGCAGCTCTTGGCTAAGAGCTGGAAACCCAAACCAAGGTCTGCCCTCAAGTCAGAAGTAAGACGCTGAAGCGGTTATTGGACTCTGCTGAACTAAACAGTCTCTGGACCCAACAGTTCCTCTCTCAAAGTATAACCCAGACTCCTCAAGGTATTCTTCAGCAACTCTCAAACTCAAACTCTTCAGTCCCAGAGCTAACTGAACTGTCATCCCTACATACTCCAGTGAACCTGCCTCCCGGCCTGAACCAGTTCCAGTGTTATCACTCATGTGCTTGTGCTTAAATAAACTCTGTTAAACTTTTCATCAGACTCCGTTGTGTTCTGCATATTGGGCTTTTCTGGACCAATCATGACAGAACACTGCGGCCAAACACAAGGCCCAGCAGACCACCTCCGTCGTAGGCTGGAGGAGCAAGACGCTCAAATCCAAGGACAGACCCAAACCCTGCGTGAGTTACATAACATGGTCAATTACCATAACCAAATGCTTCAGAACTATGCTAACTACATGAGCAATGCTAACGCCACGTCGGCAGCACAACCTTTTCCGGGACCAGTTCCGCCTCCGAGGTCACCGGCTGTGATGTCATCACCTGAGTTCCGACCTTTTCAGGTAATATGAAAGACTGTAAAGGATTTTTGTTTCAGTGCAGACTTATTTTTCAGAACTCTCCTGGCAGTTTCCCAGCTGATCAGAAAAAGATAACATTTATTCTGTCCCAACTAACCGGACGAGCCCTAGAGTGGGCGGAGGCAAGGTTTGCCTCTGAAGACAGCCTCAGATGTGATTTTTCCGATTTTGTTTCTGAGTTTTCCCAGGTGTTTAATCAAGAGTCTGACCAAACAATTGATTCTCGTGGTCTGTTGAATCTAAGACAGGGAGATTCCTCTGTAGCGGATTTTTCCATCAACTTCCGGGTCAAAGCCGCAGCTTCCGGATGGAATCAATGCGCTCTCAAAAGTGCATATTTCAAGGCTCTAAATGACAATATTAAAGATGAACTTGCAACCCTCGACGAACCAGCAACTCTTGAGAAATTAATCCGCCTAACTATTAGGTTGGATAACAGAATCCGTGCTAAAAACAGTTCAAAAGAAAGGAATCAAGGTTTTTCTGAGTCAGCCCCTGCATCTAATAATGCAACTGTTTTTTCTGGTCCCACAGAACCCCTTTCCAAGCCGAGGTTTAAAACCCAGTCACTCTCTATGCCAGTTCAGGTCTCTCATGCAGTGGAGACGGAAGCCAAACCCATGCAGGTTGGACATACGAGGCTAACCCCTGAGGAAAGGCTAAGATGTTTCAGAGGCAAGTTATGCATCTACTGTGGTGAGACTGGCCATTTCATCGCTTCATGCCCAGCTAAGTCAAAAGCCGGGGCCCGTCAGAGGATCTGAGGAGTCTGACGGGCCATTTGAATTCTGAGAAATCTCCTCATCTGATGCTCCCAGCCACTTTGTTTTTCTCTGACCAGAATCTCACTTTATCTGCCTTCATCGACTCTGGCTGTGAACGTAATTTGATAGACTCCAACCTGGTTCAGCAGCTACAAATTGAAACTATCCCTTTATCCAAGCCTCTTAGTGTCTCCGCAATCGATGGGAAGAGACTCCACCAGGTTACCCACCAAACACAACCTCTCGAGCTGTTGATCTCAGGTAACCATCGTGAAACTCTGACATTTTTTGTTCTTCCTTCTACATGTTCTCCCTTGGTGCTTGGTTTTGAGTGGCTGGAACGACATAATCCCCATATAAACTGGGCTGAACGCCACATTGAGTCTTGGTCGACCTCATGTCATGAAACATGTCTCCGTTCTGCAGCTCCCGCTGTAAGGTCTCCTAGAGGCGGGGGGGAGATGGACTCTCCTGACCTTACATCTGTCCCGTCCGAGTACCATGATCTGGCTCCTGTCTTCAGTAAGGTCAGTGCTACGTCTCTTCCACCTCACTATTACCTGGAGCTCCCCTGCCCAGCAGTAGACTTTACAACATTTCCAAGCCAGAACGAGAAACTATGGAAAAATATATTAACGAGTCTCTAGCTGCTGGAATAATCCGTCCATCTTCTTCTCCGTTGGGTGCTGGTTTCTTTTTTGTGGGCAAAAAGGATGGTTCCATAAGACCTTGTATAGACTACAGAGGCCTGAACCAAATAACAGTTAAAAATAAATACCCACTTCCGTTGCTAGCATCAGCCTTCGAACCAGTACAAGGGGCTACTGTCTTCACTAAGCTCGATCTAAGGAACGCTTATCACCTTCTCAGGATTAGAGATGGTGACGAATGGAAGACAGCCTTCAAAACTCCTTTGGGCCAGTTCGAGTATCTAGTTATGCCCTTTGGTCTCATTAACGCCCCTGCATGTTTCCAAGCCCTGGTCAACGATGTCCTAAGAGACTTTTTAAATGTCTTCGTGTTTGTATGCATTGATGACATTCTAATCTATTCTAAGAATCTTCCTGAGCATAAGAAACATGTCCGCCTGGTCCTGCAAAGATTATTGGAGAACAAACTTTTTGTAAAAGCCGAAAAATGCGAGTTTCATCAACCATCAGTCACCTTTTTTGGGTTTGTGCTCGAGGGCGGGCAGGTTAAGCCATCCGAAGAAAAGATAAAAGCAGTTTTGGAATAGCCGATACCTGAGAACCGTAAACAGCTGCAGAGATTCCTGGGTTTCGCCAACTTCTACCGTCGATTCATCAGGAACTACAGTCAGACAGCTCTTCCTCTAACAACTCTAACTTCAGTCAAAAAGACCTTCCTGTGGACCCCCGAAGCACAAAACGCTTTTGATAAACTAAAGACTTTGTTTTCCAGAGCCCCTATGTTAATTCAGCCCGATCCAACCAAGCAATTCATCCTCGAAGTGGACGCCTCTGACTCTCGTGTAGGAGCTGTGTTATCCCAAAGACTCGATTCTGATCAAAGAGTTCACCCTTGTGCATTTTTTTTTTCTCTCGTAGACTTTCACCAGCAGAACAGAACTACGACGTTGGGGACCGTGAACTTCTGGCCATCAAACTGGCATTGGAGCAGTGGAGACACTGGCTTGAGGGAGCTAAACACCCGGTTTTAGTATGGACTGATCACAAGAATCTAGCATACATCCAGTCCGCCAAACAAGCAAACCCTCGTCAGTCAAGGTGGTCTCTTTTCTTCTCTCGATTCAACCTCATTATCTCTTACAGACCCGGATCCAAAAACATCAAACCCGATTCTCTCTCTCGTCTTTATTCTGTTGATCAATCCGAGACGCCTGAACCCGTTCTCCCTGCTTCCTGCACTGTTGGAGTGGTTACCTGGGAGATCTCCGATCTTATAAACTCTGCTCTGGCTTCTGAACCTGACCCAGGTAACGGTCCTCCAAACAGAACCTATGTCCCTTCTTCTGTCAGATCTCGCCTGATTCAATGGATGCATACAGCCAAGTTTTCCGCTCATCCGGGGGTGAGCAGAACCATCGCCCTAATTTCTAGACATTTCTGGTGGCCTACCCTGCACAAAGACGTGAAGGAATATGTTTTGGCTTGCTCTACCTGCACCAGAAACAAAACCTCTCATCAACCACCCTCAGATCTGTTGCATCCTCTTCCTGTACCAACTCGTCCCTGGTCTCACATCGCCATCGACTTTGTCACTGGTCTCCCAATCTCCCGAGGTATGTCTACAATTTTTACCATCGTCGACCGATTTTCAAAGTCTTGCCATTTGATTCCTCTCAGGAAACTTCCCACGGCCTTCTAAACCGCCCAGCTCCTTGTGAAACATGTTTTTCGACTCCATGGAATCCCCCAGGAAATCCTTTCTGACCGCAGACCTCAGTTTATCTCCCAAGTCTGGAAGGCCTTCTGCGCAGCTCTCAACTGTAAGTCATCACTCACTTCTGGTTATCATCCACAGTCCAACAGTCAAACTGAAAGAATGAACCAGCAGCTCGAGTCTACTCTCCGTTGTCTGTCCTCCAACAACCTCACCGACTGGAGCCAATACCTCACATTGATTGAATATGCCCACAACTCTCTCAAGTCTGCTTCCACCGGCCAGTCAGCTTTCCAGGTTAGTCTCGGATATCAACCTCCTCTTTTTCCAGCAGACGAGAGAGAGATTTCGGTTCAGTCTGTCAACCATCACATCCGTCGTTATCAGCGAGTCTGGAGAGACACCATCGCTACACTCAACCGCTCTTCTGAGACCACCAAGCGCTTTGCAGACTCAAAGAGACGTCCTGCCCCAGAGTACGTCGTTGGTCAGGAGGTATGGCTCTCCACTCGGGAAATTCCCCTCAAGGGGATGTCTCGCAAGTTGTCTCCGAGATTCATTGGCCCGTACAAAATTGCCCAGGTTATTAACCCTTCTGCCGTACGCCTGCACCTTCCTTCGAGTCTTCGCATCCATCCCACGTTCCACGTTTCCCAGATTAAACCAGTTGTCTCTAGCCCTTTGTGCCCTCCATCCGACTCCCCTCCACCCACCCTGGACGTCGATGGACATCCTGCCTTCACCGTCCGCCGGATCGTGGACTCCCGTTGGCGAGGTCGCGGTTGGCAGTACCTCGTCGATTGGGAGGGCTACGGTCCGGAGGATCGCCAATGGGTTCCTGGCTCCTACATCCTCGATCCATCGCTGATTGAGGATTATGAGCACTCCCTCCCGTCAACATCTTCTGGACCACCAAGAGGCGGTCATTGACATGGGGGTACTGTTGGGATCTGGAGAAGTTCCACCTTTCTCCAGCAGAGTGTGCCATGGATCCTCCTGAGCTGAGCCTCCAACACACCTGTGGCGCATCTCGTCATCAGAGGATCCTCCTGTTTATAACCTGCCTTCAGACCTTGCCTCAACGCCGCAGTGTTGATCCAGTTTGGTTAGCACCTGAGCCTAGCAAACACCTGAGAATCTAGCTATCTCTGTTGAGATCAGATTCTAACACCTCCTTGTCTCTGCTTCACAGGAATCCTGTTTCTCTTGGAAGCTCTGGATGAGCTTAACCTGCCGAGCCTGCCCTCTGAGCCAAACCTGAAGACTCTTCTCTGGATTCCCCTGCAGCTCTTGGCTAAGAGCTGGAAACCCAAACCAAGGTCTGCCCTCAAGTCAGAAGTAAGACGCTGAAGCAGTTATTGGACTCTGCTGAACTAAACAGTCTCTGGACCCAACAGTTCCTCTCTCAAAGTATAACCCGGACTCCTCAAGGTATTCTTCAGCAACTCTCAAACTCAAACTCTTCAGTCCCAGAGCAAACTGAACTGTCATCCCTACAGACTCCAGTGAACCTGCCTCCCGGCCTGAACCAGTTCCAGTGTTATCACTCATGTGCTTGTGCTTAAATAAACTCTGTTAAACTTTTCATCAGACTCCGTTGTGTTCTGCATATTGGGCTTTTCTGAACCAATCATGACAGTAATGGGTTAGCTTCATCTGGATTATAGACAGATATGTGAAAAAGTGAAGTGAAAAGTGAAAGCCCTTTGGGAAACTCCTCCAACTCCCATTGTCATTGTGACACAGCACACACAAGTGAACACTGGACACCATGAAATTGCATTTATGCCTCACCCGTGCAAGGGGGCAGCCCTCAATGGCGCCCCAAGGGAGCAGTGTGGCGGGACGGTACCATGCTCAGGGTACCTCAGTCATGGAGGAGGATGGGGGAGAGCGCTGGTTAATTACTCCCCCCACCAACCTGGCGGGTCGGGATCCAAGTCTGACACCCTAACCGCTCACCCACGACTGCCAGCCATATAGCTGGGTATCATCAGCATAACAGTGGAAATTAATCCCATGCTGTCTAATAACTCTACCGATTGGGAGCATGTATAAAGTAAAGAGAATTGGTCCTAGCACTGATGCCTGTGGTACTCCACAGGTAACCTTTGAGCATGTTGAAAATCTATCATTAACATGAACAAACTGAATTCGATCAGATAGATAAGATTTAAACCAGTCTAGAGCTGTTCCTTTAATTCCAACAAAATATTCAAGTCTTTCTAAAAGAATATTATGGTCAACTGGATCAAATGCAGCACTGAGATCCAACAGGACGAGCACAGATACAAGTCCATTATCTGAGGCCATGAGAATATCATTAGTGACTTTCACCAGAGCTGTTTCAGTGCTATGATGAGCTCTAAAGCCAGACTGAAACTCTTCAAAAAGTTCATTATGGTGTAAATGATTGCAAACTTGTTTGGCAACTACTTTCACAAGAATTTTAGATCAGAAAAGGAAGATTGGATATAGGTCTATAATTGACCAAGTCATCTGGGTCAAGAGACGGTTTCTTAAGCAGAGATTTAATTACAGCAACCTTAAAAGCTTTAGGTACATATCCCTGTAACAGAGATAGATTAATCACATCTAAAATGGAGGAGGAGATCAAAGGGAATACCTCCTTGAATAACCTGGTTGGAACTGGATCTAACATACAAGTTGAAGGCTTAGATGAAGACAATAATTTTACTAACTCTGAAAGTTCAACTGGATCAAAGCAGTCTAAACCCGGTTCAGATTCCATGACTACCTCAGATGCTGCCCCCCCTCCAGAGATAAACCAATCGCGGATAGAGGAGTGCTTATGATCCTATTTTTAATTAGATCAATCTTATTTATAAAGAATCCCATAAAACCATTGCTGCTAAGAGCAGGTGGAATGGACGGTTCAACAGAGCTATGGCTCTGGGTGAGTTTGGCAACTGGATTAAAAAGAAATCTAGGATTATTCTTATTCTCCTCTATTAATGAGGAGAAGTATGCTGCTCTTGCTTTACAAAGGGTCCTCTTATACAGCAGTAAACTATTTTTCCAGTCTAGGTAGGACTCCCGCAGGCCTGTGGAGTGATATTTTCTCTCCAGTTTCCTAGCATTTTGCTTCAAAGTGCGCAGCTCTGCATTAAACCAAGGAGTAAACTATCTAATTTTAACGGTTGCTGCCGCAATTACACTTTATACTAGTACGGCCAAAAGAAAAGCATGTTCCCCAGGGTCACACGCCCTGTAGGGCAACATAAATCAATGTGATTATCAATCAAATCAAGTCATTAACTAGCAGACTTTTAGAGGAAAGATAAGGTCCTGAATAGATCTAGATTGATCCGACCAAACCACAGCCCGGTTTATAAAAGATAAGGTCCTGAATAGATCTAGATTAATCCGACCAAACCACAGCCCGGTTTATAAAAGATAAGGTCCTGAATAGATCTAGATTAACCCGACCAAACCACAGCAGACCCAATAGAACCTCACACTTACTTCTAGAACGTCATAGTTGCAGTCTGCGTGGAACTCCACATCAAACTCGTGGATGGTCATGGTGATGCTGCTTCCAGGTGAGGTGGTGACGTACCAGATGCACTCTCTGTTTTCAGGGTACTTGTTGGGGTAACCCGGGCTGCTGATGGAGCCGCTGGGCCCATGGAGATCTCCTCCACATCCTGCAGGGACACAGAAGCCCTAGAGTGACTCCTGGTCTGAGGATGGTTATGTTACAGCCAGGGGTCTGAACCATGGACTATTAGTGAACGGCCTGCAATACTAACTGCACAGGAACCCTGTTTGCTCTTCAGGGGCTGAATGTTTAAAATAATGAAGACAATTTCTCTTTTGTATGTTCTAACTGATCAGCCTTTGATGTTTTGACCTGAACGTGTGGCTGCATGTTTCAGGCATGATGACACTCAGCTCTTACCGTTCTGGTACCACATCATCTGGAAGCCGGCCATGGAAATGGAGGAGTCACTTCTAAACACCACGGTTAGGGCGGAGCCTGTAGTGCTGCTGGCTGGAGGGGGCGTGTTCCCACAGAACGCACCAATCAAAGGAGCCTGCTCATCAGGCCCGTTATAGAGCTAGAACCAACAGATTGGGGGAAAATAGAATATAAATATCACGCTGTTAAAGACCTCAGTTTTGTTATGCTTTAAATATTCAGACAATGATTTGCAGCACAGAGAGCTTCTGGTTGGACTCACTGTTCACCTTTGAACACTAGTGACTCTATGAGGCGGTTATAGATCTATGCCTCATCATGGAGGGTGAAACCAAAGATAAAGGAGAGGTAATGCTTGGTCTTCTGTCCCTAAATGCCACAGAGCCAGGCTTCAGGAGGCATCAACCCGTCTTCCACCATCCATGAAAGTAGCAGATTAGCCTTTTTCTCGGATTTAGCTTCTTCCAGTCGGGTCCAGCTGAGGAAGCCTGGTGTGCTGCGGACCTCCCTGTATGTCTTTCTTCATCAGACCCCCTGTCTGCACCTCTAGTATGGAGGTTCATGCATTTTGTTCCTCAATGGAGACCAAAGGACTGAAGGCCATCATCTGTCTAGTAAAGCTGGCTCTGCTGAGGCGTAGACCTCAGGACTGAAGGCTATTGTTGGTCTGGTAAAGCTGGCTCTGCTGAGGCGTAGACCTCAGGACTGAAGGCCATTGTTGGTCTGGTAAAGCAGGCTCTGCTGAGGCGTAGACCTCAGGACTGAAGGCCATGGTCTGTGTGGTAAAGCTGGCTCTGCGGAGGCGTAGACCTCAGGACTGAAGGCCATGGTCTGTCTGGTAAAGTAGGCTCTGCTGAGGCGCAGACCTCAGGACTGAAGGCCATGGTCTGTGTGGTAAAGCTGGCTCTGCGGAGGCGTAGACCTCAGGACTGAAGGCCATGGTCTGTCTGGTAAAGTAGGCTCTGCTGAGGCGCAGACCTCAGGACTGAAGGCCATGGTCTGTGTGGTAAAGTAGGCTCTGCTGAGGCGCAGACCTCAGGACTGAAGGCCATGGACTGTCTGGTGAAGCTGGCTCTGCTGAGGCGTAGACCTCAGGACTGAAGGCCATGGTCTGTCTGGTGAAGCTGGCTCTGCTGAGGCGTAGACCTCAGGACTGAAGGCCATGGTCTGTGTGGTGAAGCTGGCTCTGCTTAGGCGTAGACCTCAGGACTGAAGGCCATCGTCTGTGTGGTGAAGCTGGCTCTGCTGAGGCGCAGACCTCAGGACTGAAGGCCATGGTCTGTGTGGTAAAGCTGGCTCTGCTGAGGCGTAGACCTCAGGACTGAAGGCCATGGTCTGTGTGGTAAAGCTGGCTCTGCTGAGACCTAGACCTCAGGACTGAAGGCCATGGTCTGTGTGGTAAAGCTGGCTCTGCCGAGGCGTAGACCTCAGGACTGAAGGCCATGGTCTGTCTGGTAAAGCTGGCTCTGCTGAGGCGTAGACCTCAGGACTGAAGGCCATGGTCTGTGTGGTAAAGCTGGCTCTGCTGAGACCTAGACCTCAGGACTGAAGGCCATGGTCTGTGTGGTAAAGCTGGCTCTGCCGAGGCGTAGACCTCAGGACTGGAGGCCATGGTCTGTGTGGTAAAGCTGGCTCTGCTGAGGCGTAGACCTCAGGACTGGAGGCCATGGTCTGTGTGGTAAAGCTGGCTCTGCTGAGGCGTAGACCTCAGGACTGGAGGCCATGGTCTGTCTGGTAAAGCTGGCTCTGCTGAGGCGTAGACCTCAGGACTGGAGGCCATGGTCTGTCTGGTAAAGTTGGCTCTGCTGAGACGTAGACCTCAGGACTGGAGGCCATGGTCTGTCTGGTAAAGTAGGCTCTGGCCTCAGAACTGAAGGCCATGGTCTATGTGGTAAAGCTGGCTCTGCTGAGACTTAGACCTCAGGACTGAAGGCCATGGTCGTGTGGTAAAGTAGGCTCTGCTGAGACGTAGACCTCAGGACTGAAGGCCATGGTCTGTCTGGTAAAGTAGGCTCTGCTGAGACGTAGAACTCAGGACTGAAGGCCATGGTCTGTGTGGTAAAGTAGGCTCTGCTGAGACGTAGACCTCAGGACTGAAGGCCATCGTCTGTCTGGTAAAGCTGGCTCTGCTGAGACATAGACCTCAGGACTGAAGGCCATGGTCTGTGTGGTAAAGCTGGATCTGCTGAGACGTAGACCTCAGGACTGAAGGCCATTGTCTATGTGGTAAAGTAGGCTCTGCTGAGACGTAGACCTCAGGACTGAAGGCCATGGTCTGTGTGGTAAAGCTGGCTCTGCTGAGACATAGACCTCAGGACTGAAGGCCATGGTCTGTGTGGTAAAGCTGGCTCTGCTGAGACGTAGACCTCAGGACTGAAGGCCATGGTCTGTCTGGTAAAGTAGGCTCTGCTTAGGAGTAGACCTCAGGACTGGAGGCCATGGTCTGTCTGGTAAAGTAGGCTCTGCTGAGGAGTAGACCTCAGGACTGAAGGCCATGGTCTGTCTAGTAAAGCTGGCTCTGCTGAGACATAGACCTCAGGACTGAAGGCCATCGTCTGTCTGGTAAAGTAGGCTCTGGCCTCAGGACTGAAGGCCATGGTCTGTCTGGTAAAACTGGCTCTGCTGAGGCGTAGACCTCAGGACTGGAGGCCATGGTCTGTCTGGTAAAGCTGGCTCTGCTGAGGCGTAGACCTCAGGACTGAAGGCCATGGTCTGTCTGGTAAAGCTGGCTCTGCTGAGGCGTAGACCTCAGGACTGGAGGCCATGGTCTGTCTGGTAAAGCTGGCTCTGCTGAGGCGTAGACCTCAGGACTGAAGGCCATGGTCTGTGTGGTGAAGCTGGCTCTGCTGAGGCGTAGACCTCAGGACTGGAGGCCATCGTCTGTGTGGTAAAGCTGGCTCTGCTGAGGCGTAGACCTCAGGACTGAAGGCCATGGTCTGTGTGGTGAAGCTGGCTCTGCTGAGGCGTAGACCTCAGGACTGAAGGCCATCGTCTGTCTGGTAAAGCTTGCTCTGCTGAGGCGTAGACCTCAGGACTGAAGGCCATGGTCTGTCTGGTAAAGTAGGCTCTGCTGAGACGTAGACCTGAGGACTGAAGGCCATGGTCTGTCTGGTAAAGCTGGCTCTGCTGAGGCGTAGACCTCAGGACTGAAGGCCATGGTCTGTGTGGTAAAGCTGACTCTGCTGAGGCATAGTCCTCAGGACTGAAGGCCATGGTCTGTCTGGTAAAGCTGGCTCTGCTGAGGCGTAGACCTCAGGACTGAAGGCCATGGTCTGTCTGGTAAAGCTGGCTCTGCTGAGGCGTAGACCTCAGTACTGAAGGCCATGGTCTGTCTGGTAAAGCTGGCTCTGCTGAGGCGTAGACCTCAGGACTGAAGGCCATGGTCTGTCTGTTAAAGCTGGCTCTGCTGAGACGTAGACCTCAGGACTGAAGGCCATGGTCTGTGTGGTAAAGTAGGCTCTGCTGAGACGTAGACCTCAGGACTGAAGGCCATGGTCTGTGTGGTAAAGTAGGCTCTGCTGAGACGTAGACCTCAGGACTGAAGGCCATGGTCTGTCTGTTAAAGCTGGCTCTGCTGAGACGTAGACCTCAGGACTGAAGGCCATCATCTGTGTGGTAAAGCTGGCTCTGCTGAGGCGTAGACCTCAGGACTGAAGGCCATGGTCTGTGTGGTAAAGCTGGCTCTGCTGAGACGTAGAACTCAGGACTGAAGGCCATGGTCTGTGTGGTAAAGTAGGCTCTGCTGAGACGTAGACCTCAGGACTGAAGGCCATGGTCTGTCTGTTAAAGCTGGCTCTGCTGAGATGTAGACCTCAGGACTGAAGGCCATGGTCTGTGTGGTAAAGCTGGCTCTGCTGAGACGTAGACCTCAGGACTGAAGGCCATGGTCTGTGTGGTAAAGTAGGCTCTGCTGAGACGTAGACCTCAGGACTGGAGGCCATGGTCTGTGTGGTAAAGCTGGCTCTGCCGAGGCGTAGACCTCAGGACTGAAGGCCATGGTCTGTGTGGTAAAGCTGGCTCTGCCGAGGCGTAGACCTCAGGACTGAAGGCCATGGTCTGTGTGGTAAAGCTGGCTCTGCCGAGGCGTAGACCTCAGGACTGAAGGCCATGGTCTGTGTGGTAAAGTAGGCTCTGCTGAGACGTAGACCTCAGGACTGGAGGCCATGGTCTGTCTGGTAAAGTAGGCTCTGCTGAGACGTAGACCTGAGGACTGAAGGCCATGGTCTGTGTGGTAAAGCTGACTCTGCTGAGGCATAGTCCTCAGGACTGAAGGCCATGGTCTGTCTGGTAAAGCTGGCTCTGCTGAGGCGTAGACCTCAGGACTGAAGGCCATGGTCTGTGTGGTAAAGCTGGCTCTGCTGAGGCGTAGACCTCAGTACTGAAGGCCATGGTCTGTCTGGTAAAGCTGGCTCTGCTGAGACGTAGACCTCAGGACTGAAGGCCATGGTCTGTGTGGTAAAGTAGGCTCTGCTGAGACGTAGACCTCAGGACTGAAGGCCATGGTCTGTGTGGTAAAGTAGGCTCTGCTGAGACGTAGACCTCAGGACTGAAGGCCATGGTCTGTCTGTTAAAGCTGGCTCTGCTGAGACGTAGACCTCAGGACTGAAGGCCATCATCTGTCTGGTAAAGCTGGCTCTGCTGAGGCGTAGACCTCAGGACTGAAGGCCATGGTCTGTGTGGTAAAGCTGGCTCTGCTGAGACGTAGAACTCAGGACTGAAGGCCATGGTCTGTGTGGTAAAGTAGGCTCTGCTGAGACGTAGACCTCAGGACTGAAGGCCATGGTCTGTCTGTTAAAGCTGGCTCTGCTGAGATGTAGACCTCAGGACTGAAGGCCATGGTCTGTGTGGTAAAGCTGGCTCTGCTGAGACGTAGACCTCAGGACTGAAGGCCATGGTCTATGTGGTAAAGTAGGCTCTGCTGAGACGTAGACCTCAGGACTGGAGGCCATGGTCTGTGTGTTAAAGCTGGCTCTGCTGAGGCGTAGACCTCAGGACTGAAGGCCATGGTCTGTGTGATAAAGCTGGCTCTGCTGAGGCGTAGACCTCAGGACTGAAGGCCATGGTCTGTGTGATAAAGCTGGCTCTGCCGAGGCGTAGACCTCAGGACTGAAGGCCATGGTCTGTGTGATAAAGCTGGCTCTGCTGAGGCGTAGACCTCAGGACTGAAGGCCATGGTCTGTGTGGTAAAGCTGGCTCTGCTGAGACGTAGAACTCAGGACTGAAGGCCATGGTCTGTGTGATAAAGCTGGCTCTGCTGAGGCGTAGACCTCAGGACTGAAGGCCATGGTCTGTGTGGTAAAGCTGGCTCTGCCGAGGCGTAGACCTCAGGACTGAAGGCCATGGTCTGTGTGGTAAAGTAGGCTCTGCTGAGACGTAGACCTCAGGACTGAAGGTCACTTTTTTATAAATAGTTGAGGGAACTGTTTAAGAGTATAAGCCACCACTTAAACTAGGAGTATGGAAATGTAATATATACGCGAGGGTTTTTTGTTAAACTGAAATTTGACCAAAATACCACTAGAGTGAGGAGCACCGCCCCTCATACAGAGCTTGGGGAAGAACACAGCGGTCGTTCCTTCAATCACTGAAGCTATCTATGTTCACAGTTTCAGGCTTTGCACTCTGAAAGGAAGAGAAGTGAAGACCTCAACAGAATATCCTTTGTTGCAACTGTTTCAACCCAGTTGAGACGTGTAACAAAGACCCTCATTGGTCTGGTAATGATGGGACAGGACAGGGCTGCCCACCTCTTCCAGGAGAACAAGTGGTCTGCATCGTCCTGCTCGTCCCTCTGGTCTGAATTCCACTCAGATCATGTGTGAGAGGACGGTTATGGAAAATGGCCGTCCCTTCCAGACAGTGGATGTCCTTCATGGAGCATCCTCCTCCTCCTTCCTGTGTTTCTCAGCTTTTTAGAAGATCAATAACGTTAAAGTCTCAATCATTAACAGCTGATTTCAATTGTTTGTAATACATTTGCTGATGGGGACGAGATGGGGGGGGTGGGGGGTCAAAGGTCACTGGCTTGCTCAAGGGAGAGAAAAGTTTAGGAGCTACATGGAAATGATTGGCTGGAGCTTCAGGTGAAGCTTCCATATTACATTTAAACTAACGCTTCATTTCTTAATAAATGTGAATAGAACATGAATAAAGCTGCCTAATTGGTATCCTTCTGATTTCTCCACTGGTTCTCCATATGTGAGTTTTCTGTAATGGTGCTTAGATGTGATTTATTAAACTAAACCTTCTTTCCTAATCAGCAGTGGATGCTTTACATGGGAACCTCCTTTAGCTCCGCCTCTAACTGCTGTACCCTCTGTACCTGTGTACCGCACTGCACGGTGAACAGGTGCATCTTAAAGAGTGGGACAGCAGAATCCGCTGAGTTTGATGTTCTGGAGGCGCAGACAGATTTCCATTCCATAAGTAGGCCGCTGTAGATGGAATATATCAATATATTTAATGCTCCACGGCAAGAGCTTCCTGTTTCTCCATATTATGCAGTGAGATCCGATGATTGGTCGGTCCGTGTAGAAAGGATGCATGAACTCTGCTTATCCTGATGGATTCATGCGCTGCATAGATCTTCCTGCACGCTGAGGAGCTCAGAGGGAACATTGCCCACGGCGTAATGAACCCTACAGGTTGCCCTCTGTCTCCCCCCTCCATGAAGTCTCCTCTCCTGCCTTCAGCAGGCAGAGAGGAGTGAAGCAAAGTGAAAGTGTTCACCTTGATGTAGTCGAAGCTGCAGCTGGACGTGGCCTCTAGCTGGAAGGCGTTGAAGGTGTAGTTGATTGTGTTTCCAGTGCTGGCCTGGATGGTCCAGCTGCACAGACCGTTGGCTGGGTAGTTGTTTGGAAAGTTCAACGACTCGATCACTCCCTGGTGCCGGTGGGAGTAGACCACGCCATGACACCCTGAAAGCAAACGCCATCATCAGTTCTGGGTCTGACCCTTAAGCTAGATTAATGATGTTTAATCCTTCTAACGCCGTGTTTCTCCTCTAATGTGTTATATTGATAAACAGGATAAAGATCAGTTATAATGGAAGCTTCTCTGAGCATCACAGGAAGTCATGAACAGTTTAGTGTTTTAAACCTTCTTATGATGTTTGAACACAGGACTCCATCATCAGTGGCTGTTAAAGTATCTCAGACTGTAACTGGGTTAGACTAGCAGAGCAGTGGGTTTATGGGCTGGATTATCTAGAGGACCGTCCTGCAGCAGGAGGCCATCAGAGGAGCCCAGACTGAACACATGGAGGCACATGGAACATGGAAGCCCTCTAGTTTACATTTACAGCTTTTATAAAAACTGATCTGGTCAGATTCCAGTAAAGCACTGGAAACACGGATTCCCTCAGAAGGTTCTAGAAGAAATGTCATGACAACAGGCAACAGGAAGTGCCTCTTTCACCCCACTGGAAGTAGAGATTTAATGAAGAATTGAAAGAAAGGAGATTGTGTTTAATAGAGAGAGAAACAGCACTACAGCTGCAAAGGAGAGGAAGATGGAGACTGTTGCTCCAGTTAATGCGCAGGTGTATGAGGAGTGGGCTATGGCAGGCTGATTTAACATTTATTAAAACACTTTCCTCCCTGTTGTTCCAATCGGAGATCAATGAAATCAGATTCTTCCTGATCCCTGAGCCTAGAAACCTGGTATGCCATCCGGTGCAGTGAGGACTGTACAGCCTCCATTATCAGAGAAAATAAAGAAGTGGTTGATTAACTCACGGAGCAGCAGAGGAGAGCAAGGAACTCTGGGAAACATTCAGCTGGACCTTACCTAAGACCTCCCACCATCATTGAGAGGACCAATCACAGCAAAGCGCTCTGACCATCCAGAAGAATGATGGGTGGCTATCTGATTAGCATGTGACTGGACTGTGAGCAGGAGGCTGGTCCTCCATGCTATCAGAACTAGAGCTTGATCTGGTGGAGCTGACAGGATAAAGACTCCTGAGGAAACATCTGCAAACATCTCAGCAATAGACTGGCTGCCTTCCACTTTCAGCCCGTTTGTGGATATCAGGAGTACATGTTCACTAGAACGAATACATATCGATATGGCTTGCCATAGGCTGTTGGTACAGCAATAGCATTAGTTTTATTTCTTGAATGGTAGTAGATCAGTGGATCTATTTAGGTTAAATCATCTGTCAGCAGGTCAAGATGAAGAATAAAAACATTGTTCTAATGTATAGAACCTGTTCATCATCTCATGGGTTCCTCGTCATGTTGATTCAGTCTCTTTTATCGCCTTCTGCTGCACTTTTCTACTGAGCACATCAGCTTCACACGGTTTTATTTCTGGTAGTAAGGAGTAGCTAGCTTAGGCTAGCGCTAGCTTAGCATTGCTATGGCTTCTGTCTCTCGTCCTGTTGGATCTCAGTGCTGCATTTGATCCAGTTGATCATAATATTCTTTTAGAAAGACTTGAATATTTTGTTGGAATTAAAGGAACAGCACTAGACTGGTTTAAATCTGATCTATCTGATCGAATTCAGTTTGTTCATGTTAATGATAGATCTTCAACACGCTCAAAGGTTACCTGTGGAGTACCACAGGGATCAGTGCTAGGACCAATTCTCTTTACTTTATACATGCTCCCAATCGGTAGAATTATTAGACAGCATGGGATTAATTTCCACTGTTATGCTGATGATACCCAGCTATATCTGTCTATAATCCAGATGAAGCTAACCCATTACATAGACTACAGGCATGTCTGAAGACAGAAAAACCTGGATGACTCTTAACTTTCTGCTTCTGAATGCAGACAAAACAGAAGTTATAGTCTTTGGACCAGAGTCTCTGAAAAAGAAGCTGATTAGCCAGTCACTTCATTTGGATGGGATTAAACTGATTTCAGATAATAAAGTAAAAATGATTGTTCCTTATGTTCCTAACAGAGCACTTCGCTCTCAATCTGCAGGTTTACTAGTGGGTCCTAGAATTTCTAAAAGTAGAATGGGAGGCAGATCTTTTAGTTCTCAGGCTCCTCTCCTGTGGAACCAACTACCAGTTTTAGTCCGTGAGGCAGACACCCTGTCTACTTTTAAGGCTAGGCTTAAAACTTTCCTTTTTGATAAAGCTTCTAGTTAGAGTGGCTCAGGTTATCCTGAGCTATCTCTATAGTTCTGCTGCTATAGGCTTAGACTGCTGGAGGACATAGGGACCCCTTTTTCATCATTCTGCTTCATTCTATCTCTATTCTCCCACTCTGCAGAATCTGTTAGTTCAATCTCTAACGTTCTGCTCTCTCTGCTTTTTCTCATAGTAGCTTCATCTGGTCTGTTCCTGTTTGGCTGTGACTCCATCCTGGAGAGAAATATCAGCTGTGCTGCTGCCATCAACACCTTTGTTTCTAGATGTTGGAGCTTGGCCTGTTTTCCAGTGTAGTCCTGTTTCTCTGACTGTGACTAACTGGATGTGCTCTCTTCATCCTCTGACATGGGAGCTGGCTCGGAGCTCGTCTGCCTGGCTGTGTGTTTCCTGGACGGGGCCGCCTGTGGAGCTGGTTGACAGTTGCCTTTTGTATCTATGCTTCTTTTTCTATGTCTGCTTCTGTCTCCTTGAACCCCAGTGGGCCTCAGCAGATGGCCGCTCACACTGAGCCTGGTTCTGCTGGAGGTTTCTTCCTGTTCAAAGGGAGTTTTTCCTCTCCACTGTCGCTACAAGCATGCTTAGTGTGAGGGATTGCTGAAGAGTCAATGAGTGGATGCAATCAGCTGGTTTTCCTTAGATAGAAAACTTTGAATCAATCTGACTGGATGATCTGGTGAACTGGAAAGTGACCTGAGTTGACATGATGTGAATTGCAGCTATAGAAATAAACTGAATAGAATTGAATCATCCTGTCACTGAGTTGTAGAATCCTCTCCCTATAAATATTTAATTCTCTGTGAATTAATGCCGATCATTCTTTAATAAGATCCTCATCAAATAGAAATGCAATGTTTGTTTTAAAGTCCTGATGTGTCTAACGGACCTAGGGAAGGATTTTTTTTTATGCACATAAATGAGACTGAATGTGTGATTGGCTGTAGGGAGAGCAGAGGACCCTCTGAGTTTACTGAAGGAAACCTGCTGCTGACCAGGTTAGCTATGGGAGGATGTTACTATGGCAACAGAAACAGAGGATGAGGCAATAGAAAACTCAGTTTCCCTGATTTCAGGTTTAGAAACCTGCTTGATGAAACAGAGCCGTGCATCGATCATATGAACCTCTTTCCTGCCCTTCACTCGTCCTCCTGGTGAGCTCTGTGGTGAGTGTTTATTTCCTTACTGGTGCTGTAAGATGCAAGGAAGCCTCCGGTGTTGATGCTGCTGTCTGTGCGTAGTTTGATGTAGAGTTGATTGGAGGAGGAGTTGATGAGGCCTGGAAGCGCAGAGCCACACAGCTTAGCCAGCTCTGCAGAACTGCTGCTGTTCCCATCGTACACCTGAAAACATCACAGCGCAGCTCAGAAAGTGATCAAATTGCAGCAACCTGTAATGCACACGCAGCCGAGACTAAAAATAAATCAGGACTTTTTTCATTTAGTGGAGGAATAATAATGAACACAGTCAGATAAACACGAACAAAACGGCTGCAGCAGCCAGGTTAACGTTATCCCATCTGCAGCAGCCAGGTTAACGTTATCCCATCTGCAGCAGCCAGGCTAACGTTAGCCCATCTGCAGCAGCCAGGTTAACGTTATCCCATCTGCAGCAGCCAGGTTAACGTTATCCCATCTGCAGCAGCCAGGTTAACGTTATCCCATCTGCAGCAGCCAGGTTAACGTTATCCCATCTGCAGCAGCCAGGTTAACGTTATCCCATCTGCAGCAGCCAGGCTAACGTTATCCCATCTGCAGCAGCCAGGTTAACGTTATCCCATCTGCAGCAGCCAGGTTAACGTTATCCCATCTGCAGCAGCCAGGTTAACGTTATCCCATCTGCAGCAGCCAGGTTAACGTTATCCCATCTGCAGCAGCCAGGTTAACGTTATCCCATCTGCAGCAGCCAGGTTAACGTTGGCCCATCTGCAGCAGCCCGGCTAACGTTAGCCCATCTGCAGCAGCCAGGTTAACGTTATCCCATCTGCAGCAGCCAGGTTAACGTTATCCCATCTGCAGCAGCCAGGTTAACGTTATCCCATCTGCAGCAGCCAGGTTAACGTTATGCCATCTGCAGCAGCCAGGTTAACGTTATCCCATCTGCAGCAGCCCGGCTAACGTTAGCCCATCTGCAGCAGCCAGGTTAACGTTATCCCATCTGCAGCAGCCAGGTTAACGTTATCCCATCTGCAGCAGCCAGGTTAACGTTATCCCATCTGCAGCAGCCAGGTTAACGTTGGCCCATCTGCAGCAGCCAGGTTAACGTTATCCCATCTGCAGCAGCCAGGTTAACGTTATCCCATCTGCAGCAGCCAGGTTAACGTTATCCCATCTGCAGCAGCCAGGTTAACGTTATGCCATCTGCAGCAGCCAGGTTAACGTTAGCCCATCTGCAGCAGCCCGGCTAACGTTAGCCCATCTGCAGCAGCCAGGTTAACGTTAGCCCATCTGCAGCAGCCAGGTTAACGTTATCCCATCTGCAGCAGCCAGGTTAACGTTATCCCATCTGCAGCAGCCAGGTTAACGTTATGCCATCTGCAGCAGCCAGGTTAACGTTATCCCATCTGCAGCAGCCAGGTTAACGTTATCCCATCTGCAGCAGCCAGGTTAACGTTATCCCATCTGCAGCAGCCAGTCTAACGTTATCCCATCTGCAGCAGCCAGGTTAACGTTATCCCATCTGCAGCAGCCAGGTTAACGTTATGCCATCTGCAGCAGCCAGGTTAACGTTATCCCATCTGCAGCAGCCAGGTTAACGTTATCCCATCTGCAGCAGCCAGGTTAACGTTATCCCATCTGCAGCAGCCAGGTTAACGTTATCCCATCTGCAGCAGCCAGGTTAACGTTAGCCCATCTGCAGCAGCCAGGTTAACGTTATGCCATCTGCAGCAGCCAGGTTAACGTTATCCCATCTGCAGCAGCCAGGTTAACGTTATCCCATCTGCAGCAGCCAGGTTAACGTTATCCCATCTGCAGCAGCCAGGTTAACGTTATCCCATCTGCAGCAGCCAGGTTAACGTTATCCCATCTGCAGCAGCCAGGTTAACGTTAGCCCATCTGCAGCAGCCAGGTTAACGTTATGCCATCTTCAGCAGCCAGGTTAACGTTATCCCATCTGCAGCAGCCAGGTTAACGTTATCCCATCTGCAGCAGCCAGGTTAACGTTATCCCATCTGCAGCAGCCAGGTTAACGTTAGCCCATCTGCAGCAGCCAGGTTAACGTTATCCCATCTGCAGCAGCCAGGTTAACGTTATCCCATCTGCAGCAGCCAGGTTAACGTTATCCCATCTGCAGCAGCCAGGTTAACGTTATCCCATCTACAGCAGCCAGGTTAACGTTATCCCATCTGCAGCAGCCAGGTTAACGTTAGCCCATCTGCAGCAGCCAGGTTAACATTATCCCATCTGCAGCAGCCAGGTTAACGTTATCCCATCTGCAGCAGCCAGGTTAACGTTATCCCATCTGCAGCAGCCAGGCTAACGTTAGCCCATCTGCAGCAGCCAGGTTAACGTTATCCCATCTGCAGCAGCCAGGTTAACGTTATCCCATCTGCAGCAGCCAGGTTAACGTTATCCCATCTGCAGCAGCCAGGTTAACGTTATCCCATCTGCAGCAGCCAGGTTAACGTTATCCCATCTGCAGCAGCCAGGTTAACGTTATCCCATCTGCAGCAGCCAGGTTAACGTTATCCCATCTGCAGCAGCCAGGTTAACGTTATCCCATCTGCAGCAGCCAGGTTAACGGTATCCCATCTGCAGCAGCCAGGCTAACGTTATCCCATCTGCAGCAGCCAGGTTAACGTTATCCCATCTGCAGCAGCCAGGTTAACGTTATCCCATCTGCAGCAGCCAGGCTAACGTTATCCCATCTGCAGCAGCCAGGCTAACGTTAGCCCATCTGCAGCAGCCAGGCTAACGTTATCCCATCTGCAGCAGCCAGGCTAACGTTATCCCATCTGCAGCAGCCAGGCTAACGTTATCCCATCTGCAGGAGCCAGGTTAACGTTATCCCATCTGCAGCAGCCAGGTTAACGTTATCCCATCTGCAGCAGCCAGGCTAACGTTATCCCATCTGCAGCAGCCAGGCTAACGTTAGCCCATCTGCAGCAGCCAGGTTAACGTTATCCCATCTGCAGCAGCCAGGTTAACGTTAGCCCATCTGCAGCAGCCAGGCTAACGTTAGCCCATCTGCAGCAGCCAGGTTAACGTTAGCCCATCTGCAGCAGCCAGGCTAACGTTAGCCCATCTGCAGCAGCCAGGTTAACGTTATCCCATCTGCAGCAGCCAGGCTAACGTTAGCCCATCTGCAGCAGCCAGGCTAACGTTATCCCATCTGCAGCAGCCAGGCTACCGTTAGCCCATCTGCAGCAGCCAGGTTAACGTTATCCCATCTGCAGCAGCCAGGTTAACGTTAGCCCATCTGCAGCAGCCAGGCTAACGTTATCCCATCTGCAGCAGCCAGGCTACCGTTAGCCCATCTGCAGCAGCCAGGTTAACGTTATCCCATCTGCAGCAGCCAGGTTAACGTTAGCCCATCTGCAGCAGCCAGGCTAACGTTAGCCCATCTGCAGCAGCCAGGTTAACGTTAGCCCATCTGCAGCAGCCAGGCTAACGTTATCCCATCTGCAGCAGCCAGGTTAACGTTAGCCCATCTGCAGCAGCCAGGCTAACGTTATCCCATCTGCAGCAGCCAGGCTAACGTTAGCCCATCTGCAGCAGCCAGGTTAACGTTAGCCCATCTGCAGCAGCCAGGCTAACGTTAGCCCATCTGCAGCAGCCAGGCTAACGTTAGCCCATCTGCAGCAGCCAGGTTAACGTTATCCCATCTGCAGCAGCCAGGTTAACGTTAGCCCATCTGCAGCAGCCAGGCTAACGTTAGCCCATCTGCAGCAGCCAGGTTAACGTTATCCCATCTGCAGCAGCCAGGTTAACGTTATCCCATCTGCAGCAGCCAGGCTAACGTTAGCCCATCTGCAGCAGCCAGGTTAACGTTATCCCATCTGCAGCAGCCAGGTTAACGTTATCCCATCTGCAGCAGCCAGGCTAACGTTATCCCATCTGCAGCAGCCAGGCTAACGTTAGCCCATCTGCAGCAGCCAGGTTAACGTTAGCCCATCTGCAGCAGCCAGGCTAACGTTAGCCCATCTGCAGCAGCCAGGCTAACGTTAGCCCATCTGCAGCAGCCAGGTTAACGTTATCCCATCTGCAGCAGCCAGGTTAACGTTATCCCATCTGCAGCAGCCAGGCTAACGTTATCCCATCTGCAGCAGCCAGGTTAACGTTATCCCATCTGCAGCAGCCAGGTTAACGTTATCCCATCTGCAGCAGCCAGGTTAACGTTATCCCATCTGCAGCAGCCAGGTTAACGTTATCCCATCTGCAGCAGCCAGGTTAACGTTATCCCATCTGCAGCAGCCAGGTTAACGTTATCCCATCTGCAGCAGCCAGGCTAACGTTAGCCCATCTGCAGCAGCCAGGTTAACATTATCCCATCTGCAGCAGTCAGGTTAACGTTATCCCATCTGCAGCAGCCAGGTTAACGTTATCCCATCTGCAGCAGCCAGGTTAACGTTATCCCATCTGCAGCAGCCAGGCTAACGTTAGCCCATCTGCAGCAGCCAGGTTAACGTTATCCCATCTGCAGCAGCCAGGTTAACGTTATCCCATCTGCAGCAGCCAGGCTAATGTTATCCCATCTGCAGCAGCCAGGTTAACGTTATCCCATCTGCAGCAGCCAGGCTAACGTTAGCCCATCTGCAGCAGCCAGGTTAACGTTATCCCATCTGCAGCAGCCAGGCTAACGTTAGCCCATCTGCAGCAGCCAGGTTAACGTTATCCCATCTGCAGCAGCCAGGTTAACGTTATCCCATCTGCAGCAGCCAGGTTAACGTTATCCCATCTGCAGCAGCCAGGTTAACGTTATCCCATCTGCAGCAGCCAGGTTAACGTTATCCCATCTGCAGCAGCCAGGCTAACGTTATCCCATCTGCAGCAGCCAGGTTAACGGTATCCCATCTGCAGCAGCCAGGTTAACGTTATCCCATCTGCAGCAGCCAGGTTAACGTTATCCCATCTGCAGCAGCCAGGCTAACGTTAGCCCATCTGCAGCAGCCAGGTTAACATTTTCCCATCTGCAGCAGTCAGGTTAACGTTATCCCATCTGCAGCAGCCAGGTTAACGTTATCCCATCTGCAGCAGCCAGGTTAACGTTATCCCATCTGCAGCAGCCAGGCTAACGTTAGCCCATCTGCAGCAGCCAGGTTAACGTTATCCCATCTGCAGCAGCCAGGTTAACGTTATCCCATCTGCAGCAGCCAGGCTAACGTTATCCCATCTGCAGCAGC